ATGCTAGTGCAGTACGTAGCTTGATGTACGCTATGGTATGTACTGGACCTGATCTTGCACATGATGTTAGTGTTGTCAGCAGGTTCATGATACAACCTGGGAAGGAGCATTGGCAGGTTGTGAAGAGATCTTCCGGTACCTTAAGGGTACACTTGATGTGGAGATTAGCTTCGGAAGTGATACAAAGTGCTTGGTGTCTAGGTATTCTAACTCGGACTATGCTGGAGATGTTGACACGAGAAGATCGATGACCGGTTATGTATTCATCTTGGAAGTTCTGTAGTGAGCTGGAAGACAACTCTGCAGTCGACGGTGACATTGTCTACTATTGAGGCTGAGTATATGGCGTTGACAGAAGCTGCTAAGGAGGAAATATGGTTGAAGGGACTGGTTGTTGATCTAGGTCTACATCATGACCAGGCAGTGGTGTATTGCGACAGTTTTAGTGCAATATGCTTGGCCTAGCATCAAGTTCACCATGAGAGCACTAACCACATTGACGTGAGGTACCATTTCTTGAGTACAGAGAAGAGGTTTAAGGTGAAGAAGGTTGGCATCGCAGATAATCCTACTGATATGTTCACGAAGCCGGTTCCACATGGCAAGTTCCAACACTACTTGGACTTGCTGAATGTCTTGAGTGGGTGACTCTGCCCTACGGGGCATTGATGGCGGGAGAGAGAGAGAAGGAGCAGAGTACATCAGAGATTTCAGAGGAAGACGATTCAAGTCAAGGTGGAGATTTGTTGATATGACTTGAATCGGACTATCAGCCGCTACGACTGGAATACTCGGGGGTCTCGCTGTTATTTGGGTTTGGGTTTTGGGCTTGGTCTGTAACTGTTTCCTTTACCAGATTGTATTAGGTTTAGACCCACATGGAGAAGTATAAATACTTCTCATCTCCTCTGTAATCTGTAATCTCCTCGATATAGTGAATATGGCTCTCTCTCGCACATGGACTAGCTAACACACATCGTGTTAGTGAACCACGTAAATCGTTTGATGTTTTTTCGATTCTCACTTTTATATTCTTGCTTTCTCGATTCCGAGGATTTTTTGATCCGTTGCTGCGCGTTTATAACAATTATAATCTTTTTTTATGAATAATTAATTATAATTTTCAGGATTCAAAGAGCTACAGGTTATTCCCAACTTCATTCCATCTTTTTGAATTCAGTAGTTGCTATGGATTTTAGTTGCTGTGTGAATTTATTAATTATTATCAGCCTTGGGAGTTATGTCAATTCAGCTTGATGTCCCTGAGTGCAGTAGTAGATGAGGCAGAACGTGTGAGTGATGTAATACACGTTAAGAATGTGATTGGACTTGGGAATGCTTGGCAATTTGTTCAGTCATACGTTCTGCAATTGTGGTTTCATTTTTCCGGATTATACTGTAATTGTGTTTCCCTCTGTCGTTGTGCAACGATCACAGAGGTGCTTTTCCTTTTTTTGTGTGGTCCAACCCTTCTCTCTTTACTACAACAAGTCCTGAAACTACCATCTGTATCAACATTTGGACCGCCTCATGTTTCCTGAAATCTGGTATTCCAAAGATTTTGTTGTTAGAATTTTTCCAAATTTGTTAGGTAAACAAATTCGAATCTGAATTGTAATATTGCTCAAAGATTACATGGAACTCGCATAGTCGCATTCAATTCATCTTAGTCAAATTTAATATATTTCGTTCAATGTAAGTAATATCTATGAATTGATTTCCAGCAAACTCTTTCTTGCTCCATCAGTTTCGTTTTTACATGACCACTGTTACATTTAAATAGAATGAGTTTAAATAAAGCTTTTGTTTAAGTTAGGTGGACCAAAGCTAGGTCTTGCGAATCATTCCAAGCTCAAGTAATCTGAATTAGTGAAATCAAATTAATGTATTCACAGTTAGCTTATGCAGCCTCATTTAACAATTGTTTGAAACAATTATGTTTTGTGGGCTACACAATTACCTTTTCTTATAGAGCTCTCATTTACATGTTTCAAAAAAAATGCATGATGTCAATTTAAAGGTTCTGAACAATCTGCCTTCCTTTGGTCATTTTATTTAAAAGTCTGAAATCAGAAACTAATTGTCTATTTTTCCTATAAGGAGAGCTTTGTTTGTCACCAACAAGAGCGACGCTGCTAAAAACCAATCTGGATATTCGAAAAGTGCATCAATTTAGTATTTGGTGTGTGTCTATAATAGTAATCGCTTAATTACTATGTTCATTACACCAACAACTCGAATTTCATGTGTTTGTGATTGCTACAATAAGAAGAATGCAGTGGCCTTTAGGGGATAGCTTCAAGCTCCGGAGTGCTCACTACTAGACTCTATTCTGTTAGATTTTTTCTAGAAATACCATTAAAAAGAAATAAAATTTCAAAAATATCATCCATTTCCAAAAATACTATCATTTTTCGAAAATCTCATGGTGGGGCGCGGTTTTCGATGTAACCCACATGAGAGAGGGCGGTTTTGGTGACCGCATGAGGTCGGGGCGGTTTGGTCCAAAAAAAATTTCCCTATCAATCCTAACCTAGGTGAAAACTTCTAAAAATACCACCATTTCTCGAAAACCTCATGGTGGAGCGCGGTTTTTTATGTAAACCACATGGGAGAGGGCGGTTTTGGTGACCGCATGAGGTCGGGGTGGTTTGGTCCAAAAATTTTTTTTTCCCGATCAATCCTAACCTAGGTGGAAACTTCAAACGAACGTATCTTTGTGCTCGGGTATCCGATCGTAGCGAAATGTTTTTTGATTGACTTTTTGAGATCTTGCAAGCCACAAACAGCTTTTTGAGATCTTGCAAGCCGCAAACAGTCGTAGGCGCTTTGGTCCCGCTTTCGTCTCGAAAAAACGTCGTTTGCTACCCCGAACGAGCTTTTTTCCGATTTCGCCAAACTTTGGACGACTATAACTTTGTGCTTCGCACTCCGAACGTCATGAATTTTTTTTATTTCGCATAACTATTTAAGGACTACAACTTTTAGTAGGAAGGAATTTTCAAAACATGAATTATTGTTGGATATACAGGAGTTTTGCAATAACATTACCTTCACTTTTCCAAAACCGCCCCCACCCATGCGGTTTACATCGAAAACCGTGCCCCACCAGGCGATTTTCGAGAAATGGTGGTATTATTGGGAAATTTAGAAAAATGTAGATATTTTGGATTTTTTTCTTTTTAGTGGTATTTCTGGAAAAAAAAGTATGTATTCTTTAATCTAGCAGTTTCATTTGCTGCTGGTCTTTCTGTTGAATTTGAGGAATCAAGTTTGCTTCAAAATGAAATAGCTTGAATAGCTAAAGAAACATGATGATATTCCTTTCAATCTAGACCTGGTCTGTTTTAACTTAATTTGAATTGTCATTAATAGCCGTCAATGTCATAATACAAACATGTATTTATTATTTTTTGTACTCTCTTTTTATGGGTAAAGTTCCAGCTTCGTAACTAAATTTCCAGCTTCGTCACTAAGATTACTAAAAAAAATTATGGTGTGGTGTATATATGTTTTAGGGTTAAATTAGGCCGATTAGACAATTTTGTTTGCCACGTCAGCAATTAAGGAACTCAATTAACGGAGACTAATGAAGAGTGATCAAACTTGAAGTATTTAACTAATTTTAGTGACTACGAACGGAATTAGAATATTTAGTCGCGAAACTTTTTAGTAATTCCTGCGACACCAATCTTGCAATTTACCCCTAATTTGATTGTAGGAATTGATTGAGACACCAAGTCCTGAGGACCTTGGTGGGACAACCTTAACCGAGCTGAAAAGGAAACACGTGTTGTCGACTATGACCCCGAGGAATAGAAGTAGTATTGCTGAAAACTTTGTGTAGTTAAGGGACATAATGTGAAGCTACTATTTAGTATTATGTTATAAGGTGATAATACTCTTATATAGACGTTATTTGTATTGTTTTCCATGTGAATGGAATCTTATAAGCGGTTTGTAAAAAAAATCTCATAAGCTAACAATTTTTTAAGGGGATTGCTATTCGTCGCCCTAAAATTCCTTATTCGTCGCCCTAATTAAGATAATTTTACTCTAATACCCTTAATTCATTTATTAGTAGTTTAAAGTTTAAACACTTAAACCCAAAACAAATTACCAGAAAATAAAATAAAATTGACATCGACTCATCGCCGGCCGCCGCTGTGCGATTTACAGTCCATAACAATGGCGGTGGGGCTCGAGTTAAATCCAAGTTTTGCACTGAAAACAAAACACCAAGACGTCCCCCTGTCCCTGGTCCAATGAATTCCAAGAATCCCCCTTACTTTGTCGAATTAATTCCCAGCAAGATAATCTTTGGGAAAAAAAACCCCTAAACCCTTACTCTGTTCTTTGAGCGCTGTTTATGTTTCTCTTCTCGTCCTTTTTAATTTGGTAATTGGGTTAGTTGTTTGGTGGGGGGACTAGGAAGTGGAATCGTTTCCCCTTTCATGAAGCGAGGAAGATAAGAAGGACTGATGGAAATAATAGATGAGATTGCAGAGGACGGCTTGCCGGAGCGGGCGACGCCTTCTTCTTCGATTTGAGCGGCGGCCGATTTGGATGGGGGATGAAGAAAGGATTAGAGATTTTTTGGTTAGGTTTACAACTGAAATTGGGTTGAGGGTAAATATGTCAATTTGTTGCGTTTTAGGGCGATAAAATTTGAATTTTAGGGCGACGAATAGCAATTCAGTTTTTTAATGATCATAAGGCAAAAATTTGATTAAGCATAACCATTAACTACAGATTCTACTGCTTAATCATTTATATGTTCTTCAAATAGAATAAAACAATATGACAAAAAAAGAATAGAACAAAATTCACACCGATTTTATACGACACCGGCCAAAAGGCCGGACCCAATGCTAGTTGGCCCCTGCAGCAAGTGTTTATAAAAGAATCAATTTGAACTCATACACGGGCCCATTATTATCAGCAGCCATTTGAATAAACCCAATAAGGAACGAAGTCCATGCCCAGATCAACATTGGATAGGCTTTCATCTTCTCGGCGAGTCGGGCGGTATCCCATAAAACCCTAGCATTATATAAACCCTAGGGCTAGGAGAGTCCTGCTTGTAGTTTCATTTCACATTATCCCCAAGGGGTCTGTGTTTAGCGGCAGGAATCGCGAAGATGCAGATATTCGTGAAAACCCTAACCGGGAAGACCATTACTCTCGAGGTCGAGAGCAGTGATACCATTGACAATGTCAAGGCTAAGATCCAAGATAAGGAAGGTTCGTACTAGTTGCTCTATGGGTTGTTGAAACCACTCTTATTCTCACTGTTTTCCCCGCTACAACCCAATGTTTTCTCTAGTTTGGTTTCATTATTAATTCCTCGGGGGGTTTTGGCTGCAGGAATTCCTCCGGATCAGCAGCGTTTGATCTTTGCCGGAAAGCAGCTTGAAGATGGCCGAACCCTAGCCGACTACAACATCCAGAAAGGTTTCCGATCTTATTCTTGGTCTTATAGCTTGTTTAGGTTCCTGATTCAGTCTTTATGTTGCTAAATTGGTTTGGTTTGTTTTGGTGCTCAGAGTCGACTCTTCATCTGGTGTTGAGGCTCAGGGGGGGAATCATCGAGCCGTCTCTGATGGCTTTGGCTCGAAAATACAACCAGGAGAAGATGATTTGCCGAAAGTAAGACTCTGCTTCCCTTTAGCCATTTCAATATTGATTTGGTATTTATAAGTGAGTTACCTGCATGATTGACATTTGGATTGTTGTTGAGGAGTTTTGGGGAACTTGAAATCTTTTGCAAAGTAAGTAATATACGGGGCTTCACTTAACTTCTTTAGCTAATCTATGCTTAAGAAGTCATACGAGTACCCAAAACTGAATCTTCCATTCTTCTACTTTGTCAGCTTTGGATCATTCATACTTGGCTGATTTTCTCGACTGGGACATTGATATTTAGACAAGCACTTGCTGTTTATGTACTCTATTGTTGATCTTGAACTTCTTTTGAAGTCTGCGTGTAGGAAATCTGTATTGATTAGCTTTCTCCATTGATTGAATTTGGTAGTTTATTCGCCTTTCATATAGAGCATGTGATGTGTGTTGTTTGGGACTGTCCGTTGAACTCTCATACCCTCGCAACTGTGCGCTCGAGGGCATGATCTGTTCCCGTACGGATCTCCATCTCTTGGATTTTGTGAATTTGCATTCTTTGTGATTCTCAGGGGTGGGTAAATTGTATTTACCTGTCTGTTGCCCCTCATGGTTTCATATGATTTTTTGTGTGCTTCTGATTGTGCTCATATTTATTGAATATGTTTGTTTGTCCTGGGCGACTTTGTCCTTGTAGGTGTTATGCTCGCCTGCATCCAAGAGCAGTTAATTGCCGCAAGAAGAAGTGTGGGCACAGCAATCAGGTTGGTTTCATTCATAGAACTAGGTTATTGTTTATTGACGTTTCACGTTGCATTGCTGACGGGATACAATTTCTGCTCTCTTTGCACAGTTGAGGCCCAAGAAGAAGATCAAGTAGACTCCGAGTCGTACGGAGATCTTGCTGATCTGGTGCTGTCGTGATAGTTTGTCGCCTGTATTTCCTCTGGTCTGGCTGTTTTGTTCAAGGAGCTTGAATACAGAACTATGAACAGTTTCTTTGTAAACAACATTGTCCCCAGTTTCTTTGAGAGTGTTCTATCATCCAATCTTCTGCCGTAAAATCTACCATTGAGCATATTAACCGCCGAATTTCCCCATTCTCTGCATGCAATGTATTGAAACAGAAATAATGCTCCGAAGGATATACAACAATCAGAAATAATGATGAGCTCAGGAGGATATACAACTCAGAAGGTTCAAAATAATACGCCTCAATGAGTTGCAGGCATATGTACAAAATAATGAGATTTGTGAAGGCGTACGAGATGATTTGCCTACACTAAAATAGTGGACATTTAGATTATAGTTTGATGTAATTTGGTGGGATTAATGAGTTGAGTAATTGTTGTGGGGTTTTCAATTCTTTAATAAAATTTTGCGGTAGAATAGTGTAAGTGTGTACTTGTGTTGGATTGAGTTTATTAGTTGATATATGGGACAGTCCCACAATGATTACTATAAAATACTAATCACCGTGGTTACTAAGGGCAAATTGGGTATAAAAATTTTTATTAATGATTTTTTTAATAAATTACATTTTAGGAAATTACATAAATATATTAAATGCAATTTTTCTCTCTCTCTCTCTCACTTCCACAATGTTTCAGCGAGATCTCTCTTCCTTCTTTTTCTCAATCTTTCCTTGATTTCATTGCTGCAACAACAAAACAATAAATCAATACCAATCCATTAAAAAAATACTACCATTGTACAAAACATCAATACCATTCAAGAAATAAAAACACTACCATTTCAGAAAACATCAATACCATTGCAGATTTAATCACTACCAATGCGACAAAAATAATACCAATGCGACAAAAAACAATATCAATACGACCATAACACTACCACTACGGGAAAAAATGACTACCATTTAAAAAAAATCACTACGGAAAAAAATGACTACCATTGAGGTAAGCCTTCACCTCCGGTATACCAGAACCGGCGGCAGCTAGAGCTATGAATGCCGTGATGAGGGTTGCAAACAGAGTCAACAGGGAGAGGACGTCGGCGGAGGTTGATTGAGGTAAGCCAACAGCAGTCAAAGCCCAAAAAAAAAATTGGGCAGAAACGAAGAGAGGGAGAGAATCCGGAGTTCAATAGAAAAAGGGGGAGAAGAAAGAGGGACCTGGATGCTTCGCTTCCTGCGTTCGGCCTCAGCGCGCTTGGCGAGATCGGCGACGCACCGGAACCGCCGGCGGGGGTTTTTGACGATGCTGACAGCTCTCCGCCATCGCATCAACGCCTCCTCCGACGGATTCTTGTGGTGCAGATCGAACTCCTTCTTCAGATCGAACTCCTTCAGACAGCGAGAGCGGGGCCGACGAGGCGGAGGTTGATCGAGAGCGGGAGCGACAGGGAGAGGAGGGAGGAGACGACGGCTAGGCATTAGGGTTTGAGTAAAATATATACAGTAATCAGGTGTGGTATATTTTTCATTTCCTAAATTACCCTTAGCTAATCTTAATCATTAATTTAAAATTATAATAAAATAAAGATAATGAATGGTATAGATGTTGGTAGCCACCGTGGTTACTCAAAATTGAGTAGCCACCGTGGTTACTCAAAATTGAGTAGCCACCGTGGTTACTCAAAATTGAGTAACCACCCTATTCCGTTGATATATGTGTTACAATCCTCTCTATTCAATGATAAAAACTTTAGAATAAAAAATTAAAAAAAATTGCGTGAAGGAAAATTTTTACAAAAAGCACAATTGAAAAAGAAAGATGTCTTCTTTTAGTTAGGTTATCGGTCGGTTATTTTGGTGTAACCTTTCTGAATCGCTCGATTAATGACTATTCGATTAATCGCATAAATAACAGATAACCGACTATACTGTTACAGTTAATCGATTAAAATAAAGTGTGTTGTTAACAATAAACACAAATCGCTTAACCGTTAACCGATAGCGACTAAACAGTTACGATCAATGCTGTCAAGAGCACGATTCTACCTAGAAGCGATTGGGTGACCTAGAAGCGTAAAACCGTAAGTTTTTAGTTTTAAAGCGTAGATTTTGACTACATTTGTAAGGAAAAATCACGATTCTACGTAGAAGCGTTTTGGTGACCTAAAATGATAAAAGTGTTAACTTTTATATTTTAAAGCGCGATTTTGACTGCATTAGTTACGGTTATGATTGAACGAAACTGACTAACAACCCTAGATAGAGCTACAGAATGAGATGTGAAGGTTAGTACCAAACTAATCATACTTTTAGGCATAAATTAAAATAGCACTTATGGAGTTTTCTAAGAATTTTAATCATTAAAAAATTCCTTGCCTCGTTAATTTCTGGCACGCGATCAATGACCACATCGCATTTTGGAGCAGCGATCTGCATGCATTGCTTAGAGGGACAATGATTGGACTGGATTCCCGACAGGGATCACTAGGCGGAGAGTGGAGAAGTAGTTGATCGCGTTTGACAAACGCGATCTGCACAGTCTGCTTTTGCTCTCAACGGTGTGTGCTATACTCTTCATCCACACCGTAACATTTATTTCTCCTCTTTTTCACCACTCAAGAAATTCTTCATATGATATGCTATGTGTGTGCGGTTAAGCTCGAAAACCCACACTAGAAAAAATTTCCTTGAGTTTGTGATACAATTTCTCAAAATTTGTCGAACCTTTTTTTGACTTTCTCAAAAATTGGACGAAGAGACTCTTAGGGTATCTATTTGTTTTTCGCCTTATGATTTATTGTTTAGTAAATTTTTTGTATATTTGGTTTCTATTGTAATTTATCAACGTTAATCTTTTGAATGACTCTTTAAGACCAATAATCTCTTAGTAGTCTAACCATGATTGATTAGTTGATTTTTTGGAATTCTGAATGTTTTTGCCCAAAGTACTCCACATTAAGGAATTCTGAGTATGCTCTGTGTTGCGGCTAAGACCAACCTTCCACATTAGAAAATTTGCCCAGATCAATCAAACCATTATCAAAATTAAGACTAACACTAATTATTAGCCAAAACTTTTTCGCATTTTTTATTATTATTCAAACCTATTGAATTACTAATAAGTAACCAAATGTTAACTTCCCGTTAGCAATTTTGTTAGTAATATTGACTTGTGAACATGATACTTACTTGGAAGAGACACATGGAGGTCAACATTCAAAAACTTTAGGATTTTAACTAAGAAAAGAGTTACAAAATTATTAACAAAAACAAAAAATGGCTATTTGATAGAAAGATTTGGCTAATTATTAGTAATTCAATAGGTTTGACTAATAAAAAAGCATGCGAAAAAGGTTTGGCTAATAATTAGTATTTACTCTAAAAAAATAAACTCATTGAAGTGTCTAACATTTGTCTGATTAGGAGGTCTTCCTCCTTCCCTCTCACGACTTCCTGTAATATCATTAAAATCACCTATTAAACCCACTTTTCTGAATCTTGGGTTTTGAGACTCGCAATTCTATTCCACACAGTTATAAGAAAGAAACACTTCTCACCTTCCACTTGACAATGGATAAAGTTCTTATCGCAACAGATTACCTAACTTTAAGATTCCTAGTTTACCAAAGCGACAAACCTCCAGAGAGACCTTCAGGATCCACATACTCCTTATTCTTTTTTTACTTCAGTTTATTCCTACGCTTTTCCATGTTTTTTTTTTTGTTTTTTGTTTCCATAAGACAGATAATCGAGGGACAATATTTGCAGATTAAAAGCTTCAGATGGTTGACTGTAGCATTCTGTCCCGCCCCTCTATAGTTCCAACTCATAATAGAATTCATGGGGTTGTTGGTGGCCTTTGGCATACCACCTTAACCTTTTCACATTCCACTACATGGTTCTCTTTGTCAACAACAACGATGTGAGGAGTAGGGGTGGGCAACGGGAAACGGGTATTTGGGTATACCCGTACCCGTCCCATTTTTTAAGGGTTACGGGTACCCATATTACTTGTAATATTATAAACGGATGGGACTTGGGATTGTACATTCCTAATATGGGTACTCGCGGGTTACCCGCGAATACCCGTTTGGGTAATATGGGTACCCGTTATACCCATTCAAATCATGAATCATCCCAATATCAACTATATGCCCAGCCTGCCCTTAACCTTTTTGCTCCTAACTATTCTTCTTTGCAGGACAACACTTTCTGCATTCAACAACACAAGAAAAGTAGCAGCATGCCTCCCATTGGTTGTGTTGAATGAAACTTCTTATTTGATAATTTGGTGCTTGGAATGATTTATTTCTATGTGTTGTGATTGTTCATGAATGTGTAATTTGCAAATCAAGTATTTGTGATTGAGATGTATTTTGTGTCTTGTGATTGTTAAGCAAATACAAGTTAAGTTTAAACTTTTGTTAAAATTTTAGTGGTTTAAACTTTGGGTATTTATGGGTAGTATGGGTACCCGTTATCCGTCTCGTACGGGTAATGGGTACCCGTTTCCCATATGGGTTTGGGATATGGGATAGACTTTGGTCTTCAAATGGGACTGGGTACCCGTTTAAAACGGGACGGGTATCCCGTCCCGTCCCGTTGCCCACCCCTAGTGAGGAGTAATCTTTTGAAATTAGGCAACTCAAGTTATTATTTTTATTTTCAAATAGAAAGAAATAAGGAGAGGTCTCGTGGTGGAGCCTCATGACAACTCAAGTTCACAAGCCCTCAATCATGGATTCGTCCAAAACTCGTGACTTGAGACATCACCTCACCGACGAGAACCTCAACTTCAAGAAGGTTTTTGGGTGGACCGAAACTTGAGCAAACCTCCGGCTCACGACTTTAAAGAAGCGCTTGGTGGGAGGCAACCCAACCATCATCGGCTTGCATCTCTTTTCCTTTTCAATAAGATGACCATTAGAGAGATTTTGGTGGTGTTTTGCCGTCTGCACGCTCTTCCAGATATCACCCGCCCTCCGCTCCCGAATACCAACATTCACCACTATCCGGTAACATCGTTCTACCTCCTTATTTTACGCCATTGAGGGAAATGTCGAGTTTAAGTGTGTGTGTGTGGGGGGGGGGGGTAGTCTATTATGCTTGTGTGTGTGAATGATTGGTGTGATTTTGAATGCTTTGGAGCCTAGTTGTCTGCCCAAAATTTTAAAATCCGAGGGCTTCAACCATAGCAACTTCTACATTTGCATGATCATAGTGGCATCTTTGGTGATTTGTTTTGAATCTCGTGGTTATTAGCATTGTCTATGGATGATTTGCTTCAGTTGGTGTGCTACCTATTATGATGACTGAGACTTGTATTAGGTTTGTGCATAGTTCATTTCTCATGTGTTTGTGAACCGATAGATGTTTTGAATCGATTACTTTCTTTTCACAGTTGCCTATGCATCGAGTTTAGAGAATTAGAACGAATGATTGAGCACCTAGGTAGCCATGTGAGACTTGTGTCGTTCTTTCATTCTTGTGCGATAGATCCCCTTTTACATGATGTGTAGCATTCACATTGTTGCTAGAAAGGAAGATGAAGGCATAGGTTTAGTCCACGAACCAAAATTTGACTTGTCTTCATTGCATTATCCCCTAGTTGATAACGTCATATTTGCACATGTTTGCACCATTATATCTTAACCATTTTGGCTCGATTTTGTTGCTACTTGGCCTATTTTACCCTAGGTTGTGCTATTTTGTCATATTTCAGGCCCTAGCGAGTGTATGAAGGTTTAGGCGCAAGTTTCGGGTTGTTTGGAGATCATTTTATGATTGTAGAGCAAAATCACAGTTGTCCCCTGCTTTTATTAGCCTGGCCGTGTTTTTACTGGCGAACGCAAACCAAGAGAAGGCTGAAGAAAAATGAAATACGGGCAGACCAGGGGAAAAGCACGACCGTGCTTAGTCAAACACCACCAATATTTCACCCAGACTTGCCCGTATTTCTCCCGTTTTGCACTAAGTGAAACGCGTATTTTGGGTAAAGCACGATCAAGGTAGGAAGCACGACCGTGCTTCTGCCCGTATTTCGCCCAGAATCGGGTTGAAAGAGGCAAATTCGAGTCAAAGGAAGGCATTTTGATTTTTAGGAGCAAAAACAGAGTTATAGAGAGTGAAAGTGCGAAGAACAAACCTTGGGAGCTATTTGGAGTGGATTTCTCATCATTGAAGCCTAGATTGCATCCCTAGGAGTGAAGATTGATCTCCCAGAGTAGATTATTTCCATCTTTATGAGTATGACTGCTTTGATTTATGTTTTCCTCTCTCTCTCTCTCTCTCTCTCTCTATGGAGTACTCTATGGAGTAGAACTTTCTCT